CTTAACAAAAAGATTTACCGACGACGGGACTCGAACCCACGACCCCAGGATTAGAAGTCCTGTGCTCTATCCAACTGAGCTACGACGGCTTGTGATCTTGATGAAAACAACCAACGATAAAACCACGTAACCTCTAGGTACCAAGATAAAACCAAACCATTCTGGGCGATGTTGACAAACTCATGGAATTAAAAGACTGCTGTTACGAGTACTGGCAAAGGAAAGACACTCAGAATGGCCTTTTCATGTACATGCCAACCAAACATAAAGAATGCAAAACGGAATTCGTAATGGCAAGTAACATGGTCTGAACGTAATTTCTTCGTTCTTGATTGCCATGCTCCAACAGATTCTCTATGTGAAAAAATAAAGTACATGTTTTTCGCTGAGAGGCTCCACGAGAGAATGTCGTTTCTTCATTTTCACTGTTTTTCAATAAACTCATTTCTAATAATTTCTGGATGGTCACTGAAATTTTAGTCTTCACCATGTTAAAGATGGGATTTGATTTGTTCTTCCAATGCTGAAGAACATGTAATAAACAAGACTCTATGAGTTCATGATCGCCATTTTGTTGAGCTAGATCTAAAAAGTTCACAAAAGAACAGCCTTATAATTGTTTAGGGCATAAATGGTTTCTTCCGTAGTGAGTAAGAAAATTATGACATCATGTCCAATTGTCTTCCAATTCAATCACATGATTTAACGCTTTGGCCTTGACAGCCGACTTTGGTTTGTGTTTTGGTGTAAAATCAAAAATTGACCCATAGAAATCAGAAGAGAATAAGGAAATAAATTTGTTCACCACCTTCTGGTAGATCGACAACAATTTTTGAGCATCGTGATACTCGCTCATTGATATCAATGCTCTAATAATTGTGATCAAGCACTTGAGAATTCTATCTCCATGTCCCTTGTTCTTATTATTGAAATAGAGGAAATTGTTGAGATGATCTATCAATTGTAATGAATTTCTTTCCAAGCTGTTACTATTGGATGGAAATTCGACATCTTGCAAGAGAATGTATTGCCCTTTTTAGAAGAGAATATAGATTTCATCTTATCAAATTTAATACTTAATACAAGCTGTTGTAATTTAATTTTGAACAGCTTTTCATCATGATTTCTGGAAAGTAGGCTTCTTTAAGCTTTTATCCAACACACTCAATTCCTTCACTCTTTGATACCAACATGAACGATTTTAAATTTGATAAATTCAAATAGCAACCAATTCGGATCGCTTCCGAAACAAGGCAATTTGGAGGGATGTATTATTCATTTTTTATGGTCCAATACAAGGACACCACAATACTTTGCAATAAATAGCACTCCGCCGTCAGTTGCCTGCATAAAATATTCGTTCAAAAGATTCTTCAGCGATAAAATGACGGTCTGGAGATACCCCCCTCCGGAGCAGGGGGTCAGTTTTGATGTGTCATTGTATTGATCCTACCTGGTTTTGCCCTTTAAAGGCAATTCTCACTTTTTACTTTGAAATTGTTCGCTCTCAAGACATATGCTACACCACGTATTGTATTCAATTCTTCACTTTGAACAATGAGCTCAATATGAAAATGCTGATCGAATAGCTACTGATTGAATCTAGAAGTCCTCTTCATTTCTTTTTCTAAAATAAATACCCAATGAGAGATTTGAACACCCATCTCCGTACCTGCAGCATTCAAATTATTTCCTGTAAAATGCCTTCGAATGATCAAGTTGTCATCAATGTTAAAACTTGATACTAAAGTACCAACATCGATACCTGCAAATGGATAGGATGCATGTAGAATTTCAAACTTTTTAGCAGTATCCAAAGAAAACTTTTCATTACTCTTGCTACTGTTGGAAACATACATGGTGAATTGATTGTAAGGATAAATAAACAATTTTCGAAAATCTTCCCTTCCAATTCTCAAAATCACTTCGTTGTAAAGAGAAACTTCATCCACCAAGATCCAAACTCCTCGAACTGGTTGTGAGTTGACCATTTCTGTGACTATTTGTAACTTGCTAGAACTTTGACTGTTGAACTCTCTTTCCATCTCTAAAGAATACAAGGTGATATCATGAGATTCTTGATTTAAATTGTCAAAATAACTTTCATCTTTCAGCCATTCAAATAATGCAGAGAATGCAATTTGAATTTCTTCAGTAAAAACCTCACAATGTCCTTCTCTTTCAACAGTTAATAAATTAGGAATGATAATGGAAGAATCTCGTTTTTCTCCTCCTTCGATTTTTCAATATACTCTTTCACAATAGAAACCTCCGATGAATTACATATATAAATTTGAGGAATATGAGGTGTAAAGAGAAACTGAATGGGATTGTCCACTGGATCTTTTGAATAAATAATGCTGCTCCAGTTGCTATGATTCCATGATAGTGTTGTCGAGAATATCTCTCATTAAGAAGTGTGACAATAGCACCTCCCATACTCTCAGCTTCTAATAATACTGTAAAATAGGGTGTTGATGCATCATTTGGAGATACAAATTGATCCAGAATAAATCTTCGCAATTCATCAATATCTTCCACTGCATCTTTTAGAATATATCCTTCTCTACGATAAGAGGTTGAGGCTAGAATAAAACCTCGTCTGAGAAGAGTTGCATAAGGCTCTGCATGGTAATCAAAAATGGCGGTTAATGGAATTCCGAGTGGTCGGTATCCATGACACCAAATGTAAATTCCTTAATACTTTAGCAAGTTGTTGATTTTGGAACGACAATTTTGTAGATTGATCC